AAAATTTCTACTTTAACTCCTGTAATTTAGTATCTGTGACATGTATAAATGACATAATATTTTCTTGCTGTAAAAAGTAATACACTGAAAATGGCATAAGCATGCTGAAATATATCTATTTTAAAACGATCTTGATTTATTTCCAATGTTTGTCAATTTTTCAGTCTATGATTTTTCGAATACGTAATTTTCACAAAGCTGGGTTTGGTGAAATAAAAATTTTTTTACGATGTCAAAGACTCAAAGTGTGCTTAAATTTTGATACGTATATATTATAAGATAATATTTCAATATATGCTTTAATTCTATGAGTCATTTTGAAAAAGACACCAGGCATATGGAATATTATTATCTCTAAATTGGTGCTGTGTTGTATTTGAATTTTACAACTAACAATGAGTTTATAGCTGTTATATATCTTGAGCAATGTTTGTTTGAATAAAATGTTTTGTTTCCATCTCACTGTTCTTTAGAGCGGGTTTTATGTACATGTTTTTTGTTTATATGTAGATTTTTGAGTTATTCTTTTTGTGGATTAATGTAAATATGAATGCCAACTGCATTTTAATTATTGCTTTGGCTCTTTTGTTTGTTTACAACCAAAATGAATAACCCAATCCTCACATGAAACAATTTGTATCTCAATAAACCACTTAAATCTTGGACTTTAATTTCATTATGGCCAAATTTTTTTGTATTCTACTATGAAAATTGTATGTATTCTTAGCCGACTGAAACATATTAAAAGCCATCAATAAGCTACGGATTTCAAATATTTGGAGTTAGAGGACGCAATTTTGTCATAAAGTTCATAAACGAAGTTTGTTAACGCTGACTGCCATAATGAATATAAATATTAATCAAATGTATTCTGCCGTTCTTGTACTAAATGTTGGACACTTCGATTATTAAAATAAGCTTAAAAATGCGTAACTCTTGACGATGAAGCTTTCTGCATTGATGTCTCGACCACAGGTGTTGTTGTAACTTGTAATTGTCACAGAGTTGCTGAAAATATCGTAACTATTAGCAATATTCCATATACAGACATTACTGAGCTGGGAAATCAGCTCTTTAGGGAAAATAGACTGGCACAAAGTCTTGCATCCGTGAAATCAATAGGTACATTAATGGCTTCGGCTATAATATGAATGTGAAATTTAATTCATGTTTATTATGTCCAAAAATTTATTAACCAATATTTGTATTGATAGTTGTCTTTTTGATACTTTTGCGAAATTTTGCGGAATAAAACGCGTTTTTCGACACAAAATTTAACAATATTGATGCTCCAGGCTGGCATTTGTTCATTGTAATATAGTAAACTAGCAAGGTGGGAACATCTTATGACGTCATGAACCATTTGTAAAAATTAGCATCCCGTGTCGAGCTTTAGCGTTAAAATTAAACAACTTATACCAAACCAAAAATGCTCAAACATACACCAAAGTAATTATAAGAATCTTCATTTTTCATTTGGCGAAGAAAAGATGGGGTGAAATTTCGTCGGAGTTGCACTTTAACAAAATATCATTAACGCAAATGAGCCACAAACATTATGTTGCATATAATTCCTAAAAACTTACCAAAATATTTTGATGACAGAAAAACATGAGCATGACTTGGGTCTGTAAATTTACTCAGAGTTTTTTGAGACTCATATTTTTCAGTTTCTTTGTACATCTTACGAAACTTGCTCAAAGACGCGATGGCATGAGTATGGTCTTCACCTGGCACATTTAGTTTTCGAACTTCTAGAGGTTTTTCAAAAAACTTTATAGCTTTGTCGTGTTTTCCTGTTTTATCATAAAACAAACCGAGATTGTTTAAAGATGCAGCAACGTCAGTATGATTTGGACCTAACGATTGTTTTTGAAGGTCTAGAGCTTTTTCCTGAACCTCTATAGCTTTGTCATAGTTTCCAGCTTTTTCAAACACCACACCAAGATTGTTTAGAGACGCAGTGACATTAGCATGATTTGTACCTAACGGTTGTTTTAGAATTTCAAGAGCTTTCTCGTGAAACTCTATAACTTTCTTGTAATTTCCAGTTTTATTAAACACCAAACCAAGATTGTTTAAAGAATCATCAACATCAACATGAGTTGGACCTAACGATTGTTTTCGAATTTCTAGAGCTTCTTTGTACAACTTTATAGCTTTGTCGTAGTTTCCAGTATTATAATACACAATACCAAGATTGTATATAGACGCAGCGACATCAACATGATTTGGACCTAACCATTTTTTTTTAATTTTCAGAGCTTTTTCGTAAAACTCTGTAGCTTTGTCGTGGTTTCCAGTTTTTACAAGCACATTACCAAGATTATTTAAAGACGAGGCAGCATGAAAATGATTTGGACCTTGTAGTATAGTTATTATTCAAATTATTAGTATTTCGTACGTCATACTACGTATATTATAATTAAGTAATGATCTGTATATAAGTAACATGACTAAGCAATAAAAGGGACAAATCTCACAATATTACATCTGGCGACAAAGATTATTAAGGGACGAAGAAATACGATTTGATCCTGAGAAAGATACTACATTTCGAACATGACAGCTCTGCCTAGCTTCCCGACATTCAACCTAGAAGAACCCGACCTTAGAAAAGCTTGGGGAAAATACGTAAGAAGATTGGAGAATTTGTTGTTGGCAATGAACATCACAAACGCCGCAAGAAAGAAGGCGATGCTCCTGCACTATGTCGGTGAAGAAGTTAATGAGATATTCGAAACTTTAGAAATCGACGAGCCAGACAGAGAAGAAGATGTATTTAGAAAAGCGGAGAAAGCGTTACGAAATTACTTCACTCCACAGAAAAATATAGAATTCGAAGTTTATAAGTTTCGTCAAGCGAAACAACTCCCAGGAGAAAACATATCCGCATACTATACGAGATTGAAACAATTAGCCAAATCCTGCGAATTTCATGAAGAAAGCAGAGAGATAAAACGCAGATCATACAAAATGGTTCATCTTCAAAATTGCGGAGAAAAGCGTTAGCAGACCCAGAAATAACGATGGAGAAATTACTACAAATGGGAAAAACAATGGAGATGTCAAAAACACAAACAGAAGGCATCGAAAGCACGAATCGAATTTGGCATAAAAGAAAGCAAATCAAGACGCCCACGGATAAAACCTCAAATGCTTTCGAATATTCATCAAAGATCAAATGCAAATTTTGTGCTCGTGAACATCGTCCAGGGAAAAAAAATTGCCCGGCATATGGAAAGAAATGTCGACAGTGTTTAAAATGGAATCATTTTCAAGTTTGTTGCCATGAGAATCGAAGAGGCAAAGAGCTGATGCAAGACAATTATCCAAGTTCTCGCGCTGAATCAACAAAGCGAAACGGACAGATAAAACGTAATCAAGTAAGACCTCGACAAGTGAATACGGTGCAAGAAATAACGTCCGAATCAAGTATGGAAGATGAATATGTATTTTCAACGTTGACCGCGCAACAAAAGCTGCCGAAATTTAAAGTTAAGATAAATGGTACTCCTGTGTCAGTCATGGCAGATACCGGTTCCAGCGTAAACCTCTTGGATGAAGTGAATTTTAACAAATTGAAGAAAAAGCCAATATTGCAGCAAGCAAATGAGAAAATCTTCCCTTATGGGTCGGAGAAACAACTATCAATTAAAGGAAAATGTCAGTGTGTGGTCGAAACCGATAAACTATATGGGTTGGAGACATTTTTTGTTGTTAATGGGAATACGGGTTGCTTGATAAGCTGGAAAAGTTCTCAAAAATTGGGCCTGGTACAAATAGTTGCATCCATAGAAGGCACAACAAAGTCGAAACAGGAACCCGTTAAAGAAAAGGCACAAGAAAAAGTGAGAGAAGATACCAAAGTGGAGGAGCTAATTAACAAGTATCAAGAAGTCTTTCAAGGACTGGGAAAATTCAAAGGGTTTCAAGTTCATCTACACGTAGATAAGGACGTACAACCTGTCGCACAACCTCATCGTCGGGTGCCGTTTCATGTGAGAAAAGACTTGGAGAAACAGTTAAAACAAGACGAAGAACGCGGAGTCATAGAGAAAACGGATGGACCAACACCTTGGGTTTCACCAGTCGTGGTCGTACCAAAACAAAATGGGGAGGTCCGAGTTTGTATAGATATGCGACAAGTAAACAAAGCGATAAAGAGAGAACGACATTTGACTCCGACGATTGGCGAAATTATAAGTGATCTAAATGGTGCTGTATGGTTTAGCAAATTGACTTAAATCAAGGCTATAACCAGTTAGAGCTCGATGCAGAATCAAGATATTTGACAACCTTTCAACACACATTGGTCTACGGAGATTTCGACGTTTGAATTTTGGAATAAACTGTGCTGCAGAGATATTCCAAAATGCCATCAGAGAAACGTTGAATGGACTGAGAGGCGTGATTAATATCAGTGATGACATTATGGTGTTTGGCGTAGACGAGAAAGATCACGATGCAAATTTGAACGCGGTATTACAACGAATTAAAGATCGAGGACTAACTCTTAAGAAAGAGAAATGTCAGTTTAAGAAAAGAAATTTAATATTCCAAGGGTATGTGTTCTCAGAGAATGGTATTGTGCCGGATCCCAATAAAGTGAGAGCAATTAAGGAATGCACAAATCCTAAAGATGTGGGAGAAGTACGAAGTTTGTTAGGCATGACCAACTTTTGCTGCCGATTTATTCCACATTATGCCACAATTACGGAGCCGTTACGTCGACTTATCAAGAAAGATGCCCCATTCGTGTGGACAAGAGAACAAGAAGACACAATGAAAGCCCTACGGAAAGCACTAACAGATGGGCCAGAAAGTGCGTATTTTGATCTGGATAGTGATACGGAGGTCTTCACAGATGCTAGTCCAGTTGGTATTGCAGCAGTCTTGGCGCAGAGGAAAAAGGGAGAAGAAAAAAGGAAAATAATTGCTTACGCTAGTAAATCACTAACTACCACAGAGAAAAATTATTCTCACTTGGAAAGAGAAGCTTTAGCTATAGTATGGGCCTGCGAACATTTTCATTTATATTTGTTTGGAGGAAAGTTCACCATCGTCACTGATCACAAGCCGCTGGTAAAAATATATACAAATCCATCATCAAAGCCATCTGCGAGATTAGAACGATGGGCTTTGCGATTGCAACCATATGATTTTGAAATCTGTTTTCAACCTGGAACTGAAAATCCTGCAGATTTTCTCTCACGTCATCCCTTATCTGATGAGAAACTAAACAACCGTCAAGAGAAAGTAGCAGAAGAATTTGTTAATTACGTTACACAGAACTCGGTTCCAAAAACAATCAGCAGGAAAGATCTGGAAGAAGCTACAAGAGAAGACATTACTCTTCGAGCAGTAATTCAAGCCATTGAAACAGGTAGATGGTTTGAGAGTTCAAAGATGGTAGGAGTAAGTCAAGCAGAATTTAGTTCATATGAGAAACTTAAAGATGAACTTTGCATATCTTCGGGTATAATTCTACGAAAACATCAAATAATCATACCAGAAAGTTTACGAGAGAAAGTAGTGAACATTGCTCATGAAGGTCATATGGGAATGTCAAAACGAAAGCGTTATTACGTGAAAAGGTATGGTTTCCACGTATAGATGAGTTAGTTAATGAAAAGTTAAATCGTGTTTAGCCTGTCAGATTACAACTCCAGTCAGTGAAAAGGAACCATTGAAAATGTCAGAGTTGCCAAGATCTCCTTGGAAAGAACTAAGTATGGACTTTGGTGTAGCTCCTACAGGCACAGGTGAATATTTGTTTGTTCTGTATGATGATTTTTCCAGATATCCCCTTGTAGAAGTAATCAGATCAACGTCCGCAAAGACTGTTATACCCTGTTTGGATAAGATTCTTTCGGAGTTCGGGATACCAGATACGGTGGACCGCCATTCAATAGCAAGGAATTTTACGAATTTTCAAAATATTTGGGATTTAAACACAAAAAAGTTACTCCTTATTGGCCACGAGCCAACGGGGAAGTGGAAAGATTTATGCGTACTATCAAAAAAGACAATAAAGGCTGCGATAATGGAGGGAAAAAATTGAAAGCAAGAAATCCACAGGTTCCTGCGAAATTATCGTGCCACACCTCATAGTTCGACCAAAATCTCTCCATCTATGGCTTTATTCGGTCGGCCAATGAAAGTACGTTTACCTGAAGAACCATCTTATGAAGATACAGAGGAAAAAATTCGAGTACACGATGAAAGAGCAAAATTGAAGATGAAATTACATGCAGATAATAACAGGAACGTAAAGACAAGCGAGATTAAAGTAGGTGATATGGTGTTAGTAAAGAAAGATACGACCAACAATAAACAACAAACACCCTATGATGGTAAGCCATGTGAAGTCGTGGAAAGAAAAGGTTCAATGGTAACAGCGAAGAAAGATAGAATGTTGCTTACTCGTAATTCGTCATTTTTCAAGAAGATCGAAAATGGGAAAGGTCTAGAAGAACCCATTGAGGAAAGTATAAAGGAAAAACGGCGGTATCCTTTGCGTACAAGAAAAGCCCCTATTCGATACGGACAAGTTGAAAGTTAATTTAGAGAAACAATTAACATTTTCATATATGAACTTATAGATACAAAATACAAAAAAAAAATATATTTAATTAGTTTGGGGAGAGGTGTAGTATAGTTATTATTCAAATTATTAGTATTTCGTACGTCATACTACGTATATTATAATTAAGTAATGATCTGTATATAAGTAACATGACTAAGCAATAAAAGGGACAAATCTCACAATATTACAGACCTAACGATTGTTTCTTAATTTCCAGAGCTTTTTCGTAAAACTCTATAGCTTTGTCGTAGTTTCCAGTTTTTTCAAGCACATTACCAAGATTGTTTAAAGACGAGGCAACATGAACATGATTTGGACTTAACGATTGTTTCTTAATTTCCAGAGCTTTTTCGTAAAACTCTATAGCTTTGTCGTAGTTTCCAGTTTTTTCAAGCACATTACCAAGATTGTCTAGAGACGAGGCAATATGAACATGATTTGGACCTAACGATTGTTTCTTAATTTCCAGAGCTTTTTCGTAAGACTCTATAGCTTTTTCGTAGTTTCCAATTTCCCAATACACTAAACCAAGATTGTTTAAAGACGCAGCGACATCAACATGATTTGGACCTAACGATTGTTTCTTAATTTCCAGAGCTTTTTCGTAAAACTCTATAGCTTTGTCGTAGTTTCCAGTTTCCCAATACATCAAACCACGATTATTTAAATGCGCAGTGACATCAACATGATTTGGATCTAACGATTTTTTTCGAATTCCGAGAGCTTTTTCTTGAAACTCAATAGCTTTGTCGTAATTTCCAGTTCCATTAAACACCATACCAAGATTGTTTAATGACCAAGTAACATCAACATGATTTGGAGATGACGATTGTTTTTGTAATTTCAGAGCCTTTTCAAGTTGATTTTTAGCTTCGCTATACTTCCCGGTGTCATCGTACAAAAGACCGAGGATGTTAAAATACCAAGCTTTGTCATAACTAGATTCTTCTGATTTAAATATATTTAATAGTTCAAGAATAAGATCGTATTTTCCAAAATGTCTTAATTTGTCAGCAAAATATTGGAAAACTTGTAAAGTATTCATATTGATTTTTGTGTTGTTGGCCTTTAATAATTGAAGAATTTTTTCAAGATGTGGCATCAATTTGATGTCGTCGTCTCTCTCTTTAAACTTGTAAAGTGCTTTAGATATTTGATCAACGTTAGTTTCCATTTCATGTTCTTCATTTGAATGTTCAGATTGATAAACAACAACTGCTTTGTGAACAATGTGATGTAGACTAATGTCATTATTTTCTGAATGCAAGAACAATGAGCAGTCCTTTAAACAAAGACATATATCTTCCCTTGAGTGTTTGGGATCAATTTGTTGAACATAAAAAACAATAATGTCTCGTGGTATAGGATCAAACGATATCACGGAAAAAAAGTTAATAACATTGGCCAATAATGAGGCTTCTTCAGCATTTTTTCTGACAGCTAAAAGTGAAGCTTGTAACATACTTCTAGGATATACCGAGTTAAATTTAACAAAATTGGCGTCCATGTTTTCTTGTTCTTCAGAAGATATTTTCTTTAAATATTGACTCCAAGTAAATGAACGGTTGGTTTTTTTTACGCGACTGACATAATTACCAGCAGCAACCAAAGCCAGCGGTTGACGATCTAATGCGAGCGATACTTCATTCAACAATTGATCATCAGTATTTTCATCTTTAGTGTAATAATTCAACAATTGAAAACATTCTTCATTATTCATTCCACTTCTGATAGAAATATGTTTGTTAAACTCAACATCTTGAGGTACGGCATCTGTGTTCTGGATAGTTACTATGATTTGTCCATTTATCCACATGGGATCACCAAATTGGGGAAGTAATGAAGAAATTTTGCTGAGCTGTACCACGTTGTCTACAATGATCAACCAATTTTGCCAGAATTGTAATCGTGTGGATACTAACGATCGCAAATTCTTCACTTTGTCTGTGATGGAACAGTTTTCATCTTCAAACTTTTTAATCTCATACTTTTCACAGTTTAAACGGTATCCAAGTTCACAGTAAGTTTTTAAAAGAGATTCCTCATTTTTTCCATCGAGAGTCATTACAAACGAAGTTCTATTTTTCCAATCACACGATATTTTTTCACAAACCTGTCTTGCAAGTTGTGATTTACCACTGCCAGGATTACCAGTGATGTAAAAATATGTCAGTTTATCATTGGTGTCGTTCCTTAATTTTTCAAGATCTTTTATAATTTTATCTCGTAATTCATTGCGTTCAACAAAAAAATGATTAGGTCTTGAAGGAAGAACTTGAAATGAATTAAAACAGTTTCGATGATTTTTTATTTTAATGATTTCATCTAGAGAAAATTTCAAATCTTGAAATGATTTTTCAATGACATTGACTATATCATCAAAATCATCATCTGAGCATTCCCTTTCATACCAATGTGCGTATTTGTTTCTTTCACAACGAAGTGCATGAACAGCATCCTTCGTTTTTTTGTCAAGATGCTTTCCAATTGAATTTGAAAAAATTATTGCATCAAATAATATCGCACCGTCCCATTTACTGGTGTCTCCGTCCTGATATTTTAGTCGTGTTCTTTGGTCTAATTTTCTTCCTGATTCTAAATTGTAAAATTTGTTGCCACTGTTATGTGTATAATCCCATTCTCCATAAGTTGATTTGTAACGCAAGTTCCATTCATTGATAAAGAACTGAGCAAGTTCCTTTTGAACCACAATAATAATTTGCATAACGTAAGACAGATTTCTTGTTCCTCTTGATTCCATCTGTACAAAAATTGATTTATCAACATGATTAAAATCAAGAATTCCAAATATTCAATATACATTATATATATATCTTTTAAATGAAGTTGAGATTTTATATGATGAGGAAATAAAACATGGGCGTAGGGGACCAAAAATATTGGGGGTGCTGACACATTTTTGTCCGACGAAAACGAAAACTGGCCAACATTAAATTCATTGATAAAAAAAATACTCTAATCCTGAATTGAATGGCTATTGCATATTATTAAGGTCAAAAATAGTGCTAAACTATCTTTATACTTTATATTTGTGTACGTATTGCTGGAGTACTTTAACTTCCACCAACTGATATCGTACCTTACTAAGCTATTTGTAGATAAAATATTTTTTGCATTTATACCAATCTTAAATGTCAACGATTTGTGCTCATTTCTATTTGGTGGGAATTCTATTTGCACAAAAGAGGTAAAAAGAATGCATGTAAGAACGGAAAAAAGATATAATTTATTGCAAATAATGTTAGAAGTCTAAATGGTTAAAAAAGAAGCAAAGAACAAGCAGTGAGATTGGAAAAGGAAGGCCCGGGAGCTAGGGCTTACTAAAAGATTTTGTTACATGATGCATGATGTGACTATGAATTCATTAGTCAAACATCATACAAATAAGAGCAGAACGAATTTGTTATTGCTGATTATCAAATAATTACTAAAGGGTTAGGAACATGCTGACTGGCTACATTACAGTGATACAAGTCATATGTGACTTGAATTATTGTTTCCATCAACGCTATCTCATACAGACATACTAGTCGATAAAAATTTTCTGAAAAACCAGTCTTAGTAAAAACGGTTTTCAAATACAATGACAAACAATTTTTCGTTGAAACTCTTCAGAAATCATAAGGACAACTGCTCCATGATTTAAGCAAAGGAAAAGAGTCACGTGACATGTACTCTAAGCAAAGACGCTCGGAAAATGCAAATAAGGTTAAGACAGAGCGGGGACATTTGACTGAACAGCGGGCAAAAGGCATATTTTTGAAATCTCAACAAATCTGCGACGCCTTGGAGCATTCAAAAATTTGCGGAATCTTTAGATAAGTGAGCAAAAAGCATAGGTTTTGAAAAATATTGCCATGCTCAAACCCTAAAAAGATTCGCGTTTTTCTTATGCAAAGAAAGACATTTGAATGTTGAAAAAATGCAAATATATAGTTACATTATTCGATATTAATGATATGCATTTGTTTTTTTTAAGTTTTTACTTACTTTGAGACATATACGGTTTTGTGAAAGTGCTTGTGTTAACGGTCAGTAGTTTTGTATTGAGAGTTGCCTACCTTGTTAAAATATAAGATTACGACAAAACATACGTGAGAGTCACGCGAGATCGCGTGGGTGACAAACATTGCACACGAATCGAGGAATGTATTTAGTATTTACATAAAGTGATTGAATAAAAAACCTAAACAGGTGTCATGGCTGCCTATGCTAAAACGCGAGACGGCAATGTCAGCAGCCATGTTTTTTCATTACTCCTTATGTATTGCTTCACTGCTGGCTATCTATTGAGAAATAAGTAGCGAGCAAATTTTTATGTTTTTCTCCAAAAAGAATCAAATACTTTCCATAAATTGATACAAGTCCAATTATTGAGGAAACAAGCCAACGCAGCCTTTGTTGACATGCTATTGAATTTACATCGCATTTTGTGGAACTTAGTATTATTGCCTTGGTATATGGTTTTTTCCTAATGTTTTTAGAGCGAAATCAGTGAACTTTTCTTAGCAATTCAATTTTCTTAGCAATTCAATTCTATCCAAGCATGAAATTTTGGCTTACTTTGAGTCTTTGACTTTGTCGACGTGTCAACTATATCCGCTATATACTAAATATCGTTCGGATGTTCAAAGTTCGTCTCTAAGGCAATACAGGCTAGTAAACTCTACATAAGACAGTTTACATTGTTAAAATCTTTGATGTTAAAGAACAAGAATATTTCCAACATAAATAGCAAAGGCTTTCAAAGCATTCCCTCCAATTTAATTTGTTGTCGCCACGCATATTATAAACATACGCAATTTTCGCTGAAGGTTTGATACAAAAAAGTACAAAAATTCAAAGAAAGATTTTAGGTTAACATCGATATTACATACCTGATTTCAATACGAGAAAACAAAAAAATATTTCACAAAGATTTGCTGAGAAGTGTCAAAATACAACAAGATATCCAAAGTGACGGCAGATTACTGGCGATTACCCAATGCGATTTCCTCACTGATATGTATATTAGACTGGATAACGCATCTCTTGCGAAAATTGAAAACGGAATATCGATCATTTGCTACTGGCTTCAGGGGGGGGGTATCGGTTCAACTTTACTATACTTTTGTATTACAAAATCAGAGTTTTCGCGTTTTTATTCCTTTTACAAACTTCTGATGA